CTCTACCTAGCTAGGTCTCTCTTACAGCAAACATTGCATGGTTTGGCCCCTTATTCTTTGCTCAAAGATCACCTTTCTCAGGGAGGCCTTTCCTGACCAATGTCTTTAAAACTGCAACTCCCCCTTCCTACACCTTCAGTACTCCTTATCCCCTTTCTCTGCTTCTCTCCATTGACACTCATCACCATTTCGTATGAGTTTAAAATTTACTTATTTGGGCTGGCCAGTTAGCTCAGTTGGTTAGAGCTCAGTGTTATAACACCAAGGTCAAGGGTTCAGATCCTTGCATCCGCTAGCTGCTTAAAATTTTTTTTCCTTTTTTTTTTGTCTTTTTTCGTGACCGGCAACGGATCACAACCCTCAGTGTCGCGCCCGTACCGGACCAGGACCGGCAACGGGATCGCAACCCTCGGCGTTGCACCCGCACCTCACTCAGCCAGTGAGTGGCCGGTCTGTATGTGGGATCCAAACCCTCCGCGGGAGCGCCGCCGCGCTCCCAAGCGGCGCACTATAGCAGTGCGCCACCAGGCCGGCCCAAAATTTTTTTTACTTATTTATTACCTGTCTCTTGCTATTAGAATATAATAAACTTGATGAGGGCAGGGATGTCAGTTTTGCTCACTGCTGTATCCCCAACACTTAGAATGGTACCTTGTATACAACAAACACTCAAGGAGTATTTTGGAATGAATAACTTGACATTTCAAAAAAGTTGTAGGATCTTAAGATGCCTCAGAGCAATCACTGTGAACAATAATTATCATGGTACAATTATACATTGCCTTGGTAAATGGTTTCAGGTAATTCCCTAAAAAGAGCAAATCTGGGGCCGGCCCGGTGGCGCACTGGATAGTGCGCCGCTTGGGAAGCGCGGCGGCGCTCCCGTCCGAGGGTTCGGATCCCACGTGCAGACCGGCTCCCGCTCACTGGCTGAGCGAGGCGTGGGAGCAACGCCGAGGCTTGCGATCCCGTTGCCGGTCCCGGTCCGGTACGGGGGCAACACTGAGGGTTGCAATCCATTGCCGGACACGGAAAAAAGACAAAAGACAAAAA